CAAAGGTGAATAAATAAAGAAGCTAATTTAAAGAGATATATACATTTATGTCTCACTGTATAATTTTAATTTCTACCTACATTTATTTGTTTATTATGTTTTTGGGGGCAATTAATGTATGCTTATTTTTTTATTGAGCATTTTTTTTGTTTCTGTATTTATTTTTAAATATGGCAGAGTTGGTCCTCCATAACTTCCTTGCCTCAAGTCTTTATAACAACCCATGACCCTGTTACTGGATCATCACTGTTCCTTACTTGGTCTGCCTTTGACAGATAGATACTTTACCTGATCAATGCATATTGAAACATACAAGCTATATGCATGTGAAAGGTGTTGCATTTTCATAGCTTAACTAAACCAAGTACTGAACATGAATAAAATGAAGAAGTCATAACAAGGACACTAAGAAAATTAGATTTGGTATATTGTTTAAATTTAGTAAATTATGAATTTTGTTTCTGTATTTCCCCTTTTAACATGTGCAAATCTATTTCACTTTATTGTTAGAAGTAAACAATATTGCCCCCCTTTTGTGTGCCACCCCTGTTTTAAAATAGTTTTAAAATAGAAGGAAATAAAACGTGCAGAACTACGCCACCTGCTGGTGAAGCGGGGTCGTTGCATCCTCACTGGAACCCTCGGTGAGAAATGAAACCGCAGCTTCAACAAGCTCCGCCTCGTTCATACAGTAAAAAACAGCTCTGAGGAAAAAACCCGTGGCTTTCTGTTAGTCGGACATTCTTCCATGACTTGACTTATAAAACTGAAGTTTAATAGTGTTCTTTTTCGCTACCTTGCAGCTTTTCTTTTTCTCTGACTCTTCATCGGCGCATTTTCTTTCACTTTTTTAGCCTCCTTCTTAGTCATCCACGAAGGGAGTTCCCGCTGCTTCTCCGCCATGTTGGACACTTTAATAAGAAATATTTCAGTTAAGATTTAGGGTAAAGATTTGTCTGACCTCCATTATAGCAAAGAATGGAAAAACGTGTTCCGTTGTTAAATAATGTGACGAAGCCAGGTTCTCTATAGCGCCACTTGCTGGCCGATTTAATGAATTGCAATTAGTTATGTTATGACCGCCCGTTGATTATTAGAGAATAACTCAGTGCAGTGCCAAATTCAGATTGCCCCTTATTCTTTTAATTTCTCTTAAATAAATGTACAATATTAAAGTCATCTCCAAAGTGTTACAATATTATAAAAAGGTTTCAGTTTAAAAATTATTATGTATGAAAAATCTTAAATATGACCACTTCAGTGCCAGCCTAGTAACTAGATTTAGTGCTGTCTGAATTTTTTTAATATGTATTTATTTCTGTAATTATTTTTATTTTTGATTGAATGAAATTAAAATGGATCAACTTAGGAAAAGATGGGAACAAGAAATAAATTTAGTAGGTCTAAATAATCTGGGAAGAGAGGTGATGGTTGTCATCATTTTCACTATCACTTGATTTTCTCTAAAACTACACATTTTAAAGACTTTATTTCATTTTCAAAACAAAGCTTAAAGTCTCAGCTAATGAAAGTTGCTGTCCTGTATCTCCTTTAGTTTAAAAGTTATTGATTACAATCACAAACTGTCCATTAGTGACGATCAAACTTCAATGCAAGGGTGGTTGTCCCCATGTTAATAGGAGGGAGAAGAAATCAGTTCAATTTTAGAATTTAGTAAATGTTAGTTCATGTTTAATTAACACACCTCATGAATCAAAGAACCTTATATTATGAGAAAAAAATACAAAACTGTTTCATTTAATTCAAATGTCAAGCTTAATCCTTTCAGTAAAATAGCAATTTCACAATAATCAGAATTCAAAGCAAATCTTGAGGTTTATTACAAGTTATAGAAAGTAAAATGTGCATTGCACCGTGCACCTAAAATGTATCATTCAGCACCAAAAAAATAACTATATTATTGTGGTGGGGAAAAAAATATTAATTTCCTTTTGCATATATTAATTTATGGGTACTGATTTTAAATTGACTTACTTATAAAGCAATCATTCAGGCCTCAGATCTGCAAGGTGTTTAAGGGAGAGGAGTTGTTTATGCTATTAGGGAATGCTTTGAATAGAAATAATCCTCCTCAATACAAGCTAGACTTTTTCTAAGGGTTTTTTCACAAAATGTTACTGTTTATTCCAACTCTCTGTAATTGCTTTGGTTAACTGTGTTCTGACAACGTTAACAGCCTTTCCAAAGGGTTTGATTTAGTTAGTGAGCGGAACTTTTGTCTCTTACGAACAGGGCAGATCATGAAGTTATTAGGCTGTTATGACTGTCTTGTTCTATCTTTACAGATAAGGATAATAAAATGCTGATTGAGTGTACTCCTTTTTTAACTGCATAGTTGAATACTTTTTCCCACAACAATTATTTATTGAAGTATAATAAGAATGCAACAATAATAAACATATCAAATGTATCTCCAAGTTCTACTAATTTTAAGCTTTGCTGTATTCAATGTACCCACAGGCTGAAGAGGGAAGGTTTGGGGTCCCAGTACTCTATTTTCAGTTACATTTTTGTTTTATCTTGCCAAGATTCTGTCATTAATATTTTAGTCCTCTGTTGCCCTTCTGATTGTTTATTTTGCAGCCTTTCTAAACAGCACTCAACATCACCTCCTGGGGCGTCACCCTTTCACCTTTTCTGCTGTCCTTGCAAATGTCCTGCCCAATTTAATCTAATGGAAACAGATAAAATGATGAATATAACATGGAACATTGAATGGCATGGTGTTGTTTTCACACAGGTTTACATTTATACTGTAACTTGATTGAGTCTCTGCTCTGCCTCAATATTTGAAATACATTGGTATATATATATATATATATATATATATATATATATATATATATATGGGGACTTTTAGGTTACAAGACTAAAAGGAAGTTGTTATCCATCTATGTGGCATCTTGGCATAGCTAGAGATTAAACTGCAATATCAGACAAAAAAACTTTGAATGCTGCTGAAATACAGTAAACAATAGCATGAATAAAAAAAAAAATCCTGATAAAGGAGTCATGTCGCTTTGAAAAAGAAATCTAAAATCAGTTACAATTAAACCTCAAGGACCAATTGTCTGTAACAGATGTTAAAGCACACAATATAAACTGGAGCTGCTGGTTGTTATTACCCTCCTCGATTAAAACAGTACTTAAACGTCTAATTTCAGTTCTAACTGTTGTCTCTGTTTATCTCTGTTTAGGCTCCAGTCATTTATTTTATTCCCCCAATCATATTTTAGTTCCCTTACTGAAATCCATTACAGCATTTTCTGCTCCAAAGTTGTTTTAACTGTTAAAATAAATGTTGATTCTTCTGAGTATGATGTGTTGAAGATGTCTTGTACTGACCAGCAGCAGATGTCTTCTTATAATTTCTATTATTTCCTAGCCCCTCTCTTTATTTTTTCGTCACCCATCCTCATCCTCTCCAAACCCTGAGCATCCCTGTGTCAGACTTTCCCTTTCTGTCCTTCTCTACACAAAGCTGCCATCTTGTACTCGGCCCTTTTAATTATCTCTCTTAAGCTCCTTCTTGCAAGTGCTTAGGCTTTGATTACAAAGAGCAGCTTTAAATATTGGGCTAAATTAAAAACTGGAAAAGAAGGGTGGGAAAATAAAGATCTTAAGTAAACCAGTGTGTTGCATGCAAAGTTTAATTTCCCTTCAAGCTTTCGGGTTTAGTGCATTTCAAGAACAATAAATAATCAGCAGCTGAACTGGCAAGCACTGAAAAACAATCCTCAAAATCTCTCATGACAAGACATCTGAGTTGTTGTTTGTGTTTTTTTACTGCGGAGAGTGTTCAAGCAAGTGAGCGACTAAACCAGATTTTTCCATACATTTATGTAAACAGTCAGAAAAGCTAGCTTCTTAGAAGTACCAATAGATAGAAATTGTACAGATATTTGGGTAATGTAATACAAATCAAATCTGAAGTCAAGAAATAAAAATAACATATACAACTTCTATTGCAAAAAAAAAATCACATATATATATATATATATATATATATTTAAAAGATCTTTGTAGAATCCAGTTCAGTATTGGACTCATCCTCCCCCAGGCATCCTGCCACATCAAAAGATCAGGCTGTAAGAAGATTTCTGTGGACTAATGGCATAAATCTTGTCACTGCTTTTCTTGCATGCCGAATTTCAGGTCAAACATGACCAAAAGGTCTTACAGTTATTTATATAAGAACATAAGTATGAGGGTTTTCTTTATGACTCATTTTATGCTACTGTTAGAACTGGGCTAAGACTCAACTTATTTTTTAGTGAGGACATAAAACGATTGGTTGATTAGCAGAGTGAAATGATATGTTTTACATAATCTGTATTATATCTATTCTAGGTTTTCCAAGCCTTTCAGTCTTGTTACCTTGTTTTTGAACTTAATTCAACAGACTTAAATGTGCTTATAGTAAGTATCATAATCATTGGTCATCTGTCTCAGAAAGCTAGAAAATCAGAAGGAGTTGCTGTGATTAGCTCTGTGGTGCAGAGGAGTGTTGGTTTAGAAAGCATTTGATTAGTTAAAGGTTTTTGCCCCTTGCAAAAATACAGTATTTCCATGTATTCACTAAAGTATATTAGTGAATACATGCTGGTTTAAGTCATTACACTACCAGCAAGACATGATAAAGCATCCAATAGATGAATCTAATAAAGAAGTTAATAAGTCAGGCCTGTTTTAATGTGAAGTTAATAAAAGTAATATTCTGTCCTTTGCTTTATACAGCATTCCTTACATCTACTGGTTCCCCTGCTGGCAATGTATAAAAAGTTATATAAAATTTGAGCCTTTTATTTTACTATATTTATCAAGAGGTGAAACAATATTCCACATATTTTATTTTTTTTAAATGTACCGTATGAGGTATACACACACACTAACCCACTCACAATACATCTCTCTGTCTTTATAAGGCCTGTCTATTGACTTCCATTCATTTCTAACCCATTTCTACAGCCTAACCATGACTGTTACTCTAAACCTATCCGTTAAAGGTTCATTCCTGACCCTAACCTAAATTCAATTCACACCTTAGTCCTAAATGTGACCCCTGACTTTAAAACAGCGATTCCCTGCTCTCAAGGCATCTGGCCCCAAAAGGAGCTCTTGGTCCCCACAGCATCCTACTTTTCCAGAACATTGGCCTCATGATGTATTCAATGGAATTCCTAGGGGTATACATTTCTGAAGATCTCCCTTGGTCCACAACACTAAAGCAATAACCAAGAACAGCCAGCGCTTCCTAAGATTTCCCAGAAAAAAAACACCTAAACCAGAAGCCACTGGGGCCATACACAGAGCCTATCTCTAACACCCCGAAAGAGGACATGATCGTACGGTGGAAGGCATACTTTCCATGGTGTAAGAAGAGACAGGGTGCTTTGGCTCAGATTTGATCATCATCCAGGGTGAAATCCCTGAGGTGGTCAAAAAATCCACCATGGCTTTGGGGATGGACGAGATCCGACCTGAGTACTTTAGATCTATAGATGTTGTTGGGCTGTTGTGGCTGTCACGTCTCTTCAAAATCACATGGAGGTCGAGGAACATACCCCTAGACTGACAGACTGGGGTGGTTGTTACTCCGCATGAGAAGGGAGACTGGAGGTGTGTTCTGACTATAGGGGATCACACTTCACAGACTCTCTAGAAAGGCCTATGCCAGGGTGCTGGAGAGGAGAGTCTAGCTAATAGTTGAACCTTGGCTTCAGTAGGAGCAGTGTGGTTTTCCTCCCAGCCATGGAACAGTGGACCAGCTCTACACTCTCTCTAGGGTGCTCGAGGGCTAATGGGAGTCTGTCCAACCAGTTCACATGTGCCCTTTGGACCTTGAAAAGGCGTTTGACTGTGTCATTTGTAGTGCCACTGTCATATAGTATGGAGGGGGGCCCTTTACTAGGGGCCATCCTTTCTCTTTAGAAGTAGAACAGGAGTCTGGTCTGCATTGCAGGCATAAAGTTGGACCTTTTCCCATTGCATGTTGGACTCCGATAGG